TACCATGCGGCGTTGCTCAGGGAGTCCCTGCAGCGCTTACCTTGTCCTTCGCTCCCGCGATGTGTCCCCTGCAGCGTCCCCGGCCATCTCCTCCAACCGATGCCGGTATCTGGCTTCCGTGTTCCGGTCCCTGTGACGTCGGGACGTACGGGCGCCGGAAGCGGCGGCAAAATTTGAAAATTTTTAAAAAAATTACATTTTTTTTAAAACGATTATTTCATAGCAAAACATTCCTGTATCAAACCATTTCACACACATTTTGTCCCTACTGCTTTGTCCTGCGCCCTGCCTGCATTTTTACTGTTCTTTCTGCCTGGAAACTTAGAAAAGTCCATGGCGTCCAAAAAGCGTCCCTTTCGGTCAAAATCGGTTTTAGACCGGCTAGAGAACAGCGATAGTAAATCAGAACCACTTGCAGAATTGAATGATAATGATTCGTGAGGGAAATTCATCATCAAACACTGAAAACGATTTTGCGACTTTGCTCAGCGATGTGTGAATTTGCCTCTGTATTTCAAATTTCAGTGTTTTTGGTTTGATTATATTATTGAATTAAATTTTTTATTATTATTATATTATTATTTTTTATGATTATTAATTAAATTATAATTTATGATTTCGTGTTTCAAGTTTTATCATATCCGGATGTTTACTAGACTCTTGTTCGGACAGATTTCAGTGAGTTATTCCTAAAAATTACAGGCCTACAATAAAAAACTACATATTTCCATGCAAAAAAATGGTACCGCTTTCAGCACCAAAAATGGGAAATAATCATACCGCCAGGGAGGTTAAGTAAATTTTGAATCGGCAGAAAATACAGTTAGGTTCATATATATTTGGACACAGGCTTAAGAGCTATAATTCCTAAACCCTTCCTCCAATTTGGATGTACATACCCTATACATTAAACCCGAGAGTGTGCACTTTCAGGCCATGTCCATTATATAACTATAGCTTGAATATGTTTTGGTAAATACATGAAAAAAAAACTAAAATTGTGCCTGTGTCCAAATATATATGGACCTAACTGTATATTGACAAAGACAAAATCTTTAATTATAAGGTGAACTCAGTTTTGTTGAAATCATTCTGCTCTCATTAATGTAGGGTATTAGTATATTCTGATGTTTTTTGGATGTGCCTCCCCCTTAATATTTTAGTGTTGCGGGGGTTTGGCATGAGCAGATGTACCACTCCCAGGACGGGCTCTAGAGCCGTTGGGGGGTTTTATATATTAGTATATTCTGGATCTTGTTTTTTTTTTTCATTAGGAAATAGGTTGTTGATGTAGGAAGGGATAAACAAGAAGTCCTGCTTCCACAATTGGTTTCTCTAAGGATTGCTTCATAAACCCGTTAGTTAAATAAAGTGCACACTCTCGATGATGGCAATATGTTTATGGAGCTGCTGGATGCCGGCCAGGAACTGATGGAAGATTATCTATGTGTGAGGGTGAGATTTAATCAGTTTATGCTTCACTTGAGCAATCAAAAAACCAAGTTCCAAAATGCTCTTCTTGTCTTTCTGCCTGTGAAATGAAATGAACTACACATTTACTTTATGGTGGCCAATACGGTGTTCAATAGCTCGGTATATAACCTGCAATTCTTCTGAGACAAATCTGGATGTTCAGCAGTTTCCATCTCATTGCTTAATATTCATAAACTTTCTAATGGACCTTCATATTGCGAAGGACTAGATTTAGCTTTCCAATGTGATATCTAACACAGTTATGGTTTTGATGTGGTATTCCAGAGTACTTTATTGGCTAATAAGTTCCAAAAACCTAAAAAACCAAATCTGCCCATTATTTAATACTTAAAAAAATGAGGGTTCTCCCCTCTTTGTAAGTTCAGGATGTAATGCTTGTTTAGTATAGGGCAGTCTATCTCTACTTTTTTATGCCAGAGGAACCCTTGAAATAATTTTCAGTTCTCAGGGAACCCCTGATAAAACCAATTTATTGTTGGTCAATGAGAAAAATGCCCCTTACATTGGTGGTCAGCTGTAAAATGCCCCCTACCCCCTCTACAATTGTGATCAGAATGGGCAGACATCTAAAAAGATTACGGAGTTTATGCAGCTGGCTCTGCCGATTGGCATTGACTCCAGAACTACGCAGGCACCATCATATGGAAGGTCAATTAGTCACAGTTCAAGGAACCCCTAGCAACCTCCAAAGGAACCCTAGAGTTCTATGGACACCTGGTTAAGAATGGCTGGTTTAGGGGTGTATGATAGAGAGTAATATTTACCTGATTTCATGGTCCTGTCTGCTTCTCCTCACCAGTTACGGCAGTGATGACCACTGTCTACAAAGCCTCCCCTCCTCTCCGGTTATGTCTCTTCTATTTTTGCCAAATCATTGTTTATAATGCAGTAATACTGGTACTTCATTTTGTGCGATGACATTAGAGGTCCACCCATATTCCAGGGAGGATGCAAAGAAGACCTCAGCCATGGGGAGGTGGAAGAAGTGAAGTATTCCTCTCTGTTGCATTCCTCCTAGACCAGGGATCTCCAAACTTTCCAATCAAGGGTCAGTTTACTGTCCTTCAGATTTTGTGGGGTCAGACTGTGGCCAGTGTGAGTATAAAATGTCCCAATGTCAGTTGGGGTAAACAATGCCCCATCATTGGTAATAGTGTGAGGAACAGTGCCCCATTGGTATCCGGGGCAGGAATAGTGTCCCATTATTGGTGTCCCTGAAGGAATTATGCCCAGTTGTTGGGGTCAGTGGGAGATATAGTGCCATGTCTCAGTGGGAGGAATAGTGCACCAATGGCCACACAAAGGCAATCAAATGGCCATATCTGGCCCCTGGGCCGTAGTTTGAAGACCACTGTTCTAGACTAAACAAGCATTATCTCCTAAGTATAAGGTGAAGGGGAAGTGTACATTTATTTTTTTTAAACTGGCAGGTTCATCATCAAATAATCATGTCATAAAGGCTTACTTTTATACTGTGTGTAGGAAATAATCTGAAGCTGCAAAGTCCAGTGGCTGGGCCACAGGCTGCAGTGCTGGGCTGTTGCACTCTATGTGCCAGCAGCAGTCCTACATGCCCCCACACCCCTTTGCCCACTGACTCAGAGCTAGAGTACTTCAAACAGAAAACCTCAGCCTCCTGGGTGAGGAGCTTTAATTTTTGGTCAGTGGGAATGGGGGTGCGAGGTTGAGGGTGCAAATAGGACTTCTGCGGGTGTTATGTTAGACAGGCCAATGCAGGGAGACCACTACACTCACATAGGGTGCAGCAGACCAGCTCTACAGACCATGGCCTCACCACAGAACTTGCTAAACTGCTGCAGATTATTTTCCATGGAGCCTGGGACCACTACAAACTGTAGGGCCAGTTGCAGACAGAGGACAGGGAGGAGCATCGTTTCTTCCCCTCCTCTTTGACAAATGAAGTTGAAAGCGCCAAGGGTTTCATCACTTTTGGTTCTTTATTACTGGCCACTACCGGCCAATGAAGCAGCCAATCAAACTAGTTTCATTTTGATTGGCTGCTTTGAAAGGCAGAGGAGGGATCAAGGGTCTAATAGACCCCAGATCTTTCAGTAAAGAGAACCTGTCACTGCCCCAGCTTTCACAAGGGATGTTGGTCAAAAAAAAGTTGATATGTAAACAGTAATTACATGTAATTGCATCACACACGTGAGGTATACGCCACAAACATCAATAATTTTTAATTTTGGAGTAAAGAAGGGTTATAACCAATGTCAGTTCTATTTTTTGTCTTCCATTGGTCAGATTTCCCTTCAGTTCCTGTCCCATAGCTAAAACAGGAATTGAGAGGAAATTCCTGCAAATTAAGGGAGTGCAATAATTCAAGCTCCAGACTTCTTGTTTGTCCACTTGGCGCTGAGCGCACGCAAATATGCGGCCACTTTGTGGCTGGGCCTTTGGCTCAGAGGGGCTGTGTATTTGCGTATTCAATGTAAACAAAGGATGTGCTGAGAGTGCGCGCCCTGCACGGTCGTGGCACTTTCACCCATGCCTCACGGAAAGATCCTGATCGCTACTTGTGGTGGTTACATGACCCTATGTCAGGAATGGACTTGCCAATAGTGGTGGGACTCACCTGCCTTGTGGGCTGCAGTACCAGGGCTGGCCAGCGGGTGCTCTCAACAACCAGAGGTTCACTTCGGCAATTAGCCATCACCTGGGGCTGATTGCAGGTGTATTTAAGGGATGGCCAGACCTGCAGTCTGTGCCTTGGTGTGTGTTTTTCCATGGGCCCCTGTATCTTGTAACCTGCGTTCCTGTTCCTGTTTCTGCCTCTGCCTCTGCCTGACTTGTTGCCGACCCTGCCTGATCCTGACCTCTGCTGACTTCTCCTGTTTGATCCCTGGCTTGTGACCCTGACCATTCTCTCCGCCTGCTCCTCCTGTACCTACCTGCCCGATAGTTATCGACCCGGCCTGCCTGACTACATTGTGCTCTACATGTGTATGTACCTGTGTATCTATATCAGTTTAGGTTTGGGTTTGTTTCACCTTGTGGTATGTATTTGTGTTAGCTTGGGGTTTGGTGCACTGCGTTTATGTTTGTATTGTTAGTCTTAATAAATTGTCTTATTTATACCATATCTTAAGCCTGCGTTTCCCTGTGTCAGTCCACACACTTCTGGTCACACCCGCATCCCTGACACCCTAACCCCGCCTCGCCTCCCAGCGACACAAACCCCTTAAAGGATTGGGAGGTGCTGGCGCCAAAGGCTTAACTATAAACTGGTAACCTGTATAAACTTTTATGCATTGCCTATGGAGATTTTTTTGCGGATCCGCAGCGGCACCACCCGCACAGATGTGAACCTAGGGTTAAGATGCAGTAAAAGAAAAAAATGTAAATTATGACAATTAATTTTTTCCAAATCAGTAGGTTCATAGGTGAAATTATATGAATCACATTTATACAAACAACTGCGTTGAAGGAATTTGCGTAACATTACAAAGAAAAAAAATATATCTTCAATTTGTCTCCTGTTACAGATGACCCTGGAACGTATTCTCCCGTGTGTGTATGATAATGTCGTGTACAGCCGGATCCTCCAGATCCTCTATAGGAATGAAGATATCGATATCAATGATGTCATGCTGTTCAAAGCCCACCTTTTCCTGGATGGAGAACGGGTTTGTACTTGGCGTTACTAATATAGACTGTATTACTGATAAGAAAAAACAATGTACGCTGTGTAGTAGTTCACTTTGAAGTACTAACTAAAGGCAAAATGTTTTTTAGTTTTGGATTCGAATGCAGAGGAATTAGAACTCCTGTCAATTTTTTATTGTTGTCTGTACCACCATTAAAGTGGTGCTAAATCTAAAAAAAAGTTTTTAATATAAAGTGTTACTAAACCCCCAACAGTACAATCAGTCTGTAGATGCAGTAAAGAATGCTTGTTATAGTCACTGTGGAACCTAAGGGGTTAATCCTCTGCATTGTGCAAAACGGCTGTTTTATCCTGTCTTCTCTGATCCTCCCCTTCTTCCAGTGTCCCCCTCTTATCTCCTGATTAAGACATATCCTGTGGAGTCACTCTGCACATGCTCAGTTTAGTGTGTATTGCTAGAGAGGTTTTTTTTTCTTGGGAGAGTGCATATGATCACAGAGCACAGGGCCAATCAGCGCTGTCCAGACAGAGGTCAGGAGTCCTGCATTCTACTAGAGCAAAATGAAATCTCCTCCTACAAGCTGTAACCAGTGCTCTGCTGAACACTGACAGAGGTCACAAGACTGTCTAATTGCTGATGAGAAAAAGTTATTTAGCAGTTTATATTTACTAAAATAATTGCACCTCAATGTTGTGTGTAAAGTGAGAGACCAGATATAGTGAATGCAGGGTCCGGGGAGACCAGATATAGTGAATGCAGGGTCCGGGGGAGACCAGATATAGTGAATGCAGGGTCCGGGGAGACCAGATATAGTGAATGCAGGGTCCGGGGGTCAGAATGAGGGTCCGGGGAGACCAGATATAGTGAATGCAGGGTCCAGGGAGCGGATATAGTGAATGCAGGGTCCGGGGAGACCAGATATAGTGAATGCAGGGTCCGGGGAGGATATAGTGAGCAGGGTCCGGGGAGAATATAGTGAATGCAGGGTCCGGGGAGACCAGATATAGTGAATTCAGGGTCCGGGGAGACCAGATATAGTGATGCAGGGTCTGGGGGAGAGCGGATATAGTGAATGCAGGGTCAAGGAGACATATAGTGAATGCATATAGTGATATGCAGGGTCCCGGGGAGACCAGATATAGTGAATGCAGGGTGGGGAGACCAGATATAGTGAATGCAGGGGGAGAGCAGAATGCAGGGTCCGGGGAGAGATATAGTGAATGCAGGGTCCGGGGAGACCAGATATAGTGAATGCAGGGTCCGGGGGGATGAGGGTCCGGGGAGACCGGATATAGTGAATGCCTGGGGAGACCGGATATAGTGAATACAGGATCCGGGGAGACCGGATAATGCAGGGTCGGGGAGGGAGACCAGATAATATAGTGAATGCTGGGGAGGGTGAATGCAGGGTCCGGGGAGACCAGATATAGTGACTGCAGATATAGTGAATGCAGGGTCCGGGACCAGATTTAGCATGCAGGGTCCGGGGAGACCAAATATAGTGAATGCAGGGCAGGGTCCAGGGTAAGACCAGATATAGTGAATGCAGGGTCCGGGGGCTGAATGCAGGGTCCGGGGAGACCTTGAAATGCATTGAATGCAGGGTTGCAGATAAGTAAAAAGATAATTTCAGACCAGATATAGTTCTCTGCTTGTGAAGGGGAAGAGTTTCTCTGTGTGAAGGGGAAGAGAGAGAAGAGATCAGCACTGTGTATATGGCTATATCTCTTCTCTCTCTTCCACTTCACACAGGCACTCGAACAGCAGCAGGAGCCATTGGCTCTTGCTGCTGTCAATCAAATGTAAGAAGAGGAAGGTGGGGGGGGGGCTAAGTCCCGCTGTGTATGACTATGGAGCGTGGCTCTGTAGGCAGGTTGGGAGGATGGGAGCAAACACACACCGTGTGTCCCCATAGCAAACAGTTTGCTATGGGGACACACAAAGAAGAGGAGGAGCTAGGATCACTGGTGGGGGACCCGAGAAGTGGAGGATCAGGGCCACTCTGTGCAATACCACTGCACAGAGCAGGTGAGTATTACATGTTTGTTACTTTCATTGAAATGCAGACTTTAGCAACACTTTAAGGAAATTTGCCCTCTCTATTTGTTATGTTCATCATTATTATTGAAAGTGAAAGAAAAAGAAAATCCGAAATTTTGGGCTGTCCTCAGAAAAGTAATGAAGGTGAAATCTTCCAATGGGGGCTTTAGTTCTGATGACCTGGGGGGCAAAAGGGATTCCCTTAATTTGCAGGGATTTCCTCTCACTTCCTGTTTTATCTACAGGACAGGAACTGAAGGTAAATCTGACTAATGGATGACATAAAATAGAACTGACAGGGGTTCTAACCCTCCCTTATGCTAGACAAAATTAAAAATAAAAGAAAGTTTTGCCTATAGTTTTACTTTGAAGAAGGAATCTGGGTAAATGTTTTGTTTTCCCATTCAGTGGGGCTGTGCCCGCACTGCATGGGTTAAATGCTTGTTTTTGTCTAGGGACTCAGAAAGTGAAGATATACTAACCTAATTCGCCGCTCCTGCCCTCCCCCATACGCTAGTGGTATTGTGAATGTGCTGTTCCTGACGTCATCACGCTCATAGATCAGCTCCAGAGTACGGCAGGAAGAGTCCACCACTAAATACAGGGGAGTGTAGTTTTCTGGAGGATCGGAGGAATGGGTGAGTATAATTTTACCTTGAGCCCCTAAACAAACCCATGCATTGTGGGCACAGCCCCACTGTGTGCAAAAATAAAATGTTTAACTTTCTAACGTTCTACTTTAACGTCATTTGTTTATCTCCACTCCAGGGGCGGACTGACAACTCATGGGGCCCCCGGGCAATAGGGGATCATGGGCCCCCTGTGTCCTTGCCCAAACTCAAAAAAGCCTATGAAAAAGGTACCAGGGGCATCTCATGGGGCCCCCTACTGACCCCGGGCCCTCGGGCAGTGCCTGAGTTTCCAAATGGTCAGTCTGCCCCTGTTTGACACTGAGGCGGAATTACTAAAGTCAAATAGACTGTTTACATTGCAAGGGACATTGCATTTTGCATACACTGTCTTATGGAATGTATTTGGTCATCTTGGTTCTGTTTTCAGGTAGAAGATGCTCTCAGCGAAGTGGATTTCCAACTGAAGTTAGACCTTCATTTTACAGACAGCGAGCAGCAGTGAGTACTGCAATGCCTCATGGGTAATGTATGTTAATAAATCTATTATTTTTAGACCTGGTGACTGCATCAGTTTTATTGTTTTCAGGGTTTAACCTGCTAATTCTGCAAATAAAAATACTTTCTGCCCCAGGGTGGCTACATTCACTAACTACACTATATCTATGGAAACAGTCAGAGATGTGACCTGGACTGTACTTCAAACATGTTTTCTCCTCTTTATCTCCTTTACATGGACTTTCTTTCTTTCATACATTTTAACCTCATCCATTTTATTCATTTCCTTCTTCCTTTCCTTCTTCTCTTTTCTTCCCTTCCCTCCTTCCTTCCCTTCTTTTTTTTTTAATAAAATGTGTGTGTGTACACACAACCCCTGTTCAATATAAGAAAATATTTTAAGTATAGATAAATGTTAACTTCATCCATTTTTTTTATCTTTTCCTTTCCCTGTTCCTTTTCCTTTCCTTTCCCTTTTCCTTCCTTTTTCCCTTCCTTTTTCTTTCCTTTCCCTTCCTTTTTCCTTCCTTCCTTTCCTTTTCCTTCCTTTCTTATGTCCATTCCTTCCTTATTTCCTTTCCCTTCCTTCCATATTTCCTTTCCTTTCCCTTCCTTCCTTATTTCCTTTTCTTTCCTTTTTCCTTCCTTGTTTCCTTTTCCTTTCCCTTCCTACCCTTTCCTTCCTTCCTTCCTTCCTTCCTTCCTTCCTTCTTTTTCCTTTCCTTTTCTTTCCTTTCCTTTCTTTTCCTTCCCTTTCCTTTTCCTTTCCCTTCCTTATTCTGTCCTTTCCCATCCTTTTTCTTTCCTTTCACTTCCTTTTTCTTTCCTTCCTTTTCCTTCCTTCCTTTCCTTTTCCTTCCTTCCTTATTTCCTTTCCTTTCCCTTCCTTCCTTGTTTCCTTTCCTTTTTTATATTTCCTTTCCCTTCCTTTCTTTTTTTTATTCCTTCTTTCCTTTCCCTTCCTTCTTTCCTTCCTTTTCTTTTCCTTCCTTTTTCTTTCCTTCCTTCCTTCCTTCTTTCTTTTTCCTTTCCTCTCCTTTCCTTTCCTTTCCCTTTCTTTCCCTTCCCTTTCTTTTTTTCTTTCCCTTCTTTCTTTTCTATTCCTTCCTCCTTTCCTTAACTTTGCTTTCCTTTCCCTTTCCTTTTCTTTCCTTTCCTTTCACTTCTTTTTTTTTCTTTTCTTGTCATGGCAGTCTGGATGCAGTTAAACTTATCATCAAAACTGTAAATCTCCTCCCTGGCCTCCCGTAGATATATCCATATCACACATACAGCAAAGCCCTGTTCTGCTCCTGCCTTTGCTCAGCATTTTGTCAAGTTTCTGCTGATAAAATTCTGGAATCTTTAACAAGAAAAAACAACATGAGCGTTGCTAACAAGTGTAAACATTTCTTCCAGACTGAAAGACATCTCCGCCTCCGCCGTCCCCCTGATCAGCAGCCGCACTTTAGGTCTTCATTTCCATCCGCGAAGAGGTTTGCACCACCATGTTCCTGTCATGTTCGACTATTTCCACTTGTCGGTGATCTCCGTAACGGTGCACGCTTCACTGCTAGCCTTACATCAGCCGTTTACCAGGTACAGTACCAGACACAGCAGATGCCTGCCTCTTATGCCTGCATGGCCTTGTAAGCAATCGCTTGTCCTACCATACAAAACTGGAGAGCAGTGAAAATAATACGAGAGAAGGAAACTATTTTTTCTGGACTGACCTCCTTCCGCATCAGCAGCAATGCCGTCTTATGTACACTTCCTCTGGAAAGAAAAAACAGCAAAAGTCATTAAAGGTTTAGTGCACCTTGGTGACCATGTTGCATGGGTCAACCATATTTCAAGTGTAATATTAACCATTCGTTCCGGGTGGACGCCATATGGCGTCCTCCCGCACATGCGCAGATTGCGCTCCTGCAGAGTGGCGCAGCGGCGCGATCTGTCACCGGCCATGTACCTCGGACACGGCCGATGACAGATCTGAGTATCGGCCCCCGTTGCCGGTACCATGTGACCTGCTGTGACCAAACACAGCAGGTCACATGACAGTTGTATACAATGGATGGCTTCATTCATGCCATCCATTGTATACTACTGCCTAGCTGTGAATGGTCACAGCTAATCACATGCACATGTCATGTGATTAGCTGTGACCAAATCACAGCTAAGCACAAAAAAAAAAACCCTGTATGAATCGAAGTCATTCAGGTAAATGCTTGCTTATAGCAAAGTCATTCTTTGCTATAAGCAAATTGTGTAAAAAAAAAAAAAAAATACTGATCACTTCCCCAAAGTAGTACAATGTTACTATGGTAACATTGTACTACTTTGGTCATAGTGAAATATGAAAAAAAAAATCTTAAAAAAAAGAAAAAAAATGTATTAAAAAAAAAAAAGAAAAAAAAAAATATATATTTTTTTTTCATACTGTCACCAGTCAGTGTCCCTGGTCACCGCCATGCCAGTTATATGATGACGCTGTACTGCACTGGTGACAATATGTAAAAAACAAATAGTGAAACTAATTTTTTTAATTTTTTCATGTTCTGAAAAATTATGACAAAAAAATACAACTTCAAAAAACTCGCCATGCCTCTTATGAAGTACGTTGGACTGTCTACTTTGCAAAAAGGGGTCATTTGGGGGATATCTGTACTGTTCTGACATTTGGGGGATATCTGTACTGTCCTGACATTCTTGGACCTCAAGAAATTAGATTGGCTGTCAGTACTTCAGGATTGATCAATATTCAGATCTATACCATAGTTTGTGAACTCTATAACTTTCCTAAAAACTAAAAAATACATCCTAATTTGGGTTTTTTTTTCACCAAAGACATGTAGCAGAATACATCTCGGCCTAAATTTATGAAGAACAATTATTTATTTGCAAACCTTTATAATAGAAACAAAGAAAAAGTTTTTTTTTTTTTTCAAAATTTTTGGTCTTTTTTTGTTAATTTAGCAAAAAATAAAAACCCCAGCGGTGATTAAATACCACGAAAAGAAAGCTCTAGTTGTGTGAAGAAAATGATAAAATTTTAGTTTGGGTACAATGTTGTATGACCGCGCAATTGTCATTCAAAGTGTGAGAGCGCTGGAACCTGAAAACTGGCCTGGGCAGGAACGGGGTAAAATTGCCCAGTATTGAATTGGTTAAACATGACCACCTTCCCCAACCCCTGACCCTCAAATGGGAAATGGGGTGTTTCTCTATGAAGTCGACAATAATAAATCAAATGGTGCGGCGCTAACCTGTAAATAAACTATGAACCAAAATTATACTAGAATAATTACATACAGGTATGTGACAAAAAACATGAACTTGATTCACTCTGGGATCTTATAGTGAAAAAAAGTGGTTGACCATAATATCAGAAAGTGAAATCAAACAAGTCCAAATGGGAATAGGACAAAGTGAACAAAGTGAACTGATCCTTTCTCAAGGATCCAAAGTGACTTCCACATATTGATTGAACGTGGTGACTTAAAAAGAAATATATTATGAATCCAAAAAAAAAAAGTCCAAATGGGACTGAAAATGTGAAAACACCAAATAAATAATGTGTCACAGATCCCTTAATTAATATCACTCAAACAAAACAAAATCACAGTGACCAATGCTTGTCTAAAAATAAATAAAAATTCAAATTCAAGTGATAGAAAAGTGAATCTCTAATAGGGGATAAATCTCCTCTATAGAGGTGCATGCTGTGTTAAATCTCCAAAAAGCTCTAGTGATAATATAATAAATAATCATAGAAAACATCACCATCCCTTAATTGTGGATAATGATATATATATATATATATATATATATATATACAGCAAACATAAAATTGAATGTAAATAATAAAGATAACAAAAATGGAATGTTATAAAGTACCATATAAAATTTTTTTTAATAATATACACAAATATATATAGAAAAATTTCAAAGGTGCATAAACACCAGGTGGTCCAATGACTTTTCAAACGTGCAGGTGATATGGTGGATGTGCATAGAACCAATGGGAAATAATCCTTAAACTGCTGAATTGCCCCCTCACCTCCTTGCAGCGACCCAAACGGGCCAAAACTCTTGTAGGATCACAAAAGGATCCTCCACGATAAGAATCTCCTCTGCGGATGATATCCTTCCAAAGCGGTGATATCCCCTTCAGTTATGTGCGTTTAAGGCAGCAGGATCCCCTCCAGGTGTGTATAGATGTGATACAGCCAACTCACATTGTAATCACAGTAAACACATGAAAGAGATCTTCCATAGAGTAAAACCATTTAATTTAATATATAAATCAATTTGAGCCAATTGCCCACTCACTTTGTGTAAAATAAACTCAAGCATTAAAACCACATGCTATGGGTGTACTTGCATGGGTTTTGGGTGTAGCAAGATGGCGTCCGCGTCGGTAATACGTCACCACGTTCCTACGCGTTACGTCCCATTATCACGTGACTTCCTTCCTTTTGGATTCATAATATATTTCTTTTTAAGTCACCACTTTCAATCACTTTGTGGAAGTCACTTTGGATCCTTGAGTAGAATCAGTTCAGTTCACTTTGTCCTAGTCCCATTTAGACTTGTTTGATTTCACTTTCTGATATTATGTTCAACCACTTTTTTTCACTATAAGATCCCAGAGTGGATCAAGTTCATGTTTTTTCTCACGTATGTAATTATATTAGTATAATTTTGGTTAATAGTTTATTTACAGGTTAGCGCCGCACCATTTGATTTATTATTGTTGAATTTTCATATGGTATATGATTGGGTGTTAGCAGCTCCCCACGGTCAGTAGCAATTTAATTAAGAGCTCAGGAGGATCATACTACAATTTTCTATGAAGTCGCCTGTTGATTTTTTAATTGAGCACAACAACCATGTCATCCATTTACAGATCCATTAGCAGGAAACTATGAATGGAAAGACATCAAGTCCTATCACGGCAGAGGGACTCAGTGAAGCACAAGGGCAGCAAAGTCATCCACTTGTAGTCCATTGATTGCTACCTTTAGCCCCTTAACTGAAGCTTCCATAGCTCTGTACTGACCAGGGGCGGACTGACAACTCATGGAGCCCCCGGGCAATAGGGGATCATGGGGCCCCTGTGTCCTTGCCCAAACTCAAAAAAGCCTATGAAAAAGGTACCAGGGGCATCTCATGGGGCCCCCTACTGATCCCGGGCCCTGGTTTCCAAATGGTCAGTCCGCCCCTGGTACTGACCTAGGGCTGGGATGCAAGCATTGCAGAAGCTTGTGCCTTGCACCTGAGACACACTTGTGGGTAGGTGCATCATAGTTTGGTGGCAGTAAATACAGTCCGGTTGCAGTAAAATTCGGAAACTTGTATTGAAAAAAAATGCCAAACACAAACAACCCCAGTGGGAGAGTGTCACTTAGGGTAATGCTCACAGCTCAATTCAATGCAGATATAAAGCGGGAGGAGATGCACAGACAGCGTCTTCCTAAGAGGGCGGAATGTGGCCTGGCAGGTCTGGTCCAGGGGCGGACTGACAACTCATGGGGCCCCCGGGCAATAGGGGATCATGGGGCCCCTGTGTCCTTGCCCACACTCAAAAAAGCCTATGAAAAAGATACTAGGGGCATCTCATGGGACCCCCTACTGACCCCGGGCCCTCGGGCAGTGCCGAGTTTCCAAATGGTCAGTCCGCCCCTGGTCTGGTCCCAAAGGTACTTCTGTAAGGAACAGCTTGTCTTTGTTTGTCTGGAACCTTTCCCTGCTCCTATCACCTTCCCTGACAGATGATTACTCTTTCCTTACACTAGGCACTTCACAAATGTGTGCCAAAGCCTGGGGCAGGGGCTGACTCTGCTGACTCAAGATGGCCTCCAGAGGTCACTTGGATGCAGCGTAGTCAACCAGAACACTGCCTTCAAGACCCAGGAAACCATAAATAAAACCAGATTTCTCCTGACTTTTTCTCCAGGCTGTTCTCTAGTCGAGTGCCAACCATAGTGGAGAAAGCAGACTGCACCTGCCTGCACACTTATTGCAACTGCAAAGCTCTACAGGCTTCAGTTCAAACATTTAATAAGTGAACATTGATTGAAATGGGTGGACTTGTCTTTTTTGAACCAGACTAACTATATAACTTTTTTTTTTTTTTAATGTGGATACGTTTATTAAATTTTTGTAAAAGGTGGCCTATATATTTCAGGATCAAACCAACCTATAAAAATCACTTTCTAGCAAGCTGTTCAAGGATATACATAAGCTAATCATCACCTCTCCAGGTGTTGTCAGATATTTCATTGGCTAAAAAAATTCCAAGTAATTAAAATAATTATATCCAAAATAATCTTTTTAATATTTTCATAAACACAGTTTAACCCCCAAAGATGTAAAAACAAATCTTACCCAAGCTCAAATGCTCTGTTCACCACATGGAGACAGGAGACCGTTGCACTGACTGAGGAGTCCACTACTCAAAAGCAAATATCCACAATACAAGAGGCCGGCAACTCGGAAAGCTTAATGGGAATCTTTATTGGTTGTATAAATACAGGATCCATAAAGCTGACACGTTTCGGCTTCACAAAGCATTATTCATAGCATACAAAATACTA